CGAGCCTCCTAAGCGGACAGAATAGTTTATATTCTCTAAAGCCACCCACTTGAGGTGGTGCACAACACCCACAGTGGAATGCTGAAATAGTTAATTGACACTTGAGACCTAGACTTCTAGTACTCAACGGTTCTATTGAAAATCCATCTCAAGTTCACATCGTCAGCGTGTGCACACTTCCTTCTGGGGTACAGCTGCATTCTTCCTGGGGTTCCCCTCCCCCTTGGCTCTGTTGGCATGTGACCAGCCTTGAGTACAGCGGGATAGATCAGACCATCAGGAAGACAATTTCTCTTGCAGTTACTCGGTTTTCTGCTCTGGTCTGAATTTGACTTCTCAGAGACACTTCCCTGCTGAGAAGATAATGAGCAGAATGTCTTAGATGAGACTGCTGGTTGACTTGGCAGGTCTTTCCCATTAAAAAGAAGTGATTTGGAATTCTGGCTTAAAAATAAGGTTTCTATGAACTTGATTCGTGTGTATAAATCTGCAAGGGATTTAGCATTGATGGAGGAGCTAAAAATAATCACTCAGCTGAGTCTCCAAGATGAAACTCAAGCCTGGGCTCCCTCCCCTGTATCACATGGCCATGAATTGTTTAGTACTTTAACAAGTACTTGTCTACACCTAAGACTATAGCACTGCCCTCTGAACCTTTGAGAAAAGAACTCAATACCTGGAATTGGGGATAGGAAATGGTTTGAGAGAGGAGCCTTGTCAACCAAAGGGAATAGTAGTTGGCTGAGGATATGGGGTAAGAGGACATGGAGCAGAAAAAGGCTGGTGTGGCTGCAGCTGGCTGAACATGAGGACGTCAGGAGATGATGTCCACATCTTAGGAGCCTAAGGAATGGGGCTCATTTTGTTCGTGAGAATAGATAAGCGTACAAGTCCCAGAACCCGGGTGTGAGTGACCTCCCTGCTTCATGAGGTGGGACTCTTGATAAATTGCTTCTTGTGAACTGTTGAGTTGGAGCTGACCCTCCGGTGAGTTTTCAGAGACTGTTAATCCCACATGCAGAGATTGCCTGTCTTTCTCCCATAAAGTGCTTAAACTTGTCTACTATATAAGTAATTATCGATAAATTGCTTTACTTCTCTGTGTTCCAATTTTTCAGTTGGTTGGTGGGCAGCATCAGGTTGTCTGTGTTCATAGCAGCCCCACCTGCATATAGAGCCGGCTTTTAGCATTTCCTCGCTGTACTTTTTTCTGGGTGCACTCACTAGGCACTTCTCCCTCAGAGGGACTGATAGGGTGCAACCCACTGACCTCTTAGTGCTCAGCCAATCACTTAATCACTGTGCCACCAGGGCTCCTGCCTCATCTGATAACACATTGCTGCACATGACGGCTGTAAATGCATTTCTAAGCACGGTCTTAATTTAAAAGTGTATGACAGCATGTTAAATAAGGATGACTTCAGGCTCTTGTCAGGTGTGAACACTTACGTGTTTGAAGGATTGGAATGGACCTTGATGCATGGTCATCGTTCAGTTAGTGTTCACCCTCGTAGCAATGAGGGAGCTCGGGCTCAGTCAGACCTTACTGATTTGAGGTCCCAGCCAGAGGCTGCATGTCTCCGCCTGTTCCGATTCACAAGTGGCTCTGCTGACGGGAGATGGACAGTCCCTTACCAGTTACTGTTCACAGCCTCGGAACCTCAGTGGAGGGCTACTGTGAGTTCTGAGTCAACAGCAGTGAGTGAGGGGAGCAGCAAATGCTTGTTATAAAGCCTGTTCTTAGCACTTCACGTGGCTTCTGGGCAGAGCTCTCGTCTATTCATTCTCCCCAGCCTTCCGACAGCTCACCTTCGGGCAGAGACCTGTGTGTGAATCAGACGATTCCACTGGAAAGCTCTGGAATGCCTTCCGGTTCTCAAGAAAAACATCCAAACTCTGCCGTGAAAGATCCACCATAACATGCACCCCGGCCCCGTCCTGTGACCACACCACTTCCCACCTACTGCTCCCTCCATTTCAGCCACACTAATCGAACTGCTATCCAGACTTGCCACCCTCCCCACCAGGCACTTCTCTTGATGGTCTCTTGCTGGACACCCCTGCCTCACACCTTTGTTCGGAACACGTTTCTGCCCTTCAGGATGGGAAGAGCATGAGGATACAGTTGATGAGGATATTTCTTTAAAATATTCACTTAAGAATTAGAAGCTATTTTGGAAAATGAGCCAATAAAAGCACGGAACACTGCAGGTTCATCAAGTTGTGACTTAATGAAAAGGATAGGGTAATAAAAGTCACTCAGCCATGCCACTTAACCAGTAGTGCCAAAAGAGTGGTGACATTGACAAAATGTAAGAGGTGGGAGACAGTGGTTTGGATTTTGTCCAAGTGATGGAGCTGAATGAAGCCTTTGATTTTTAAACCCATTGAGTTTGAAGTGGTGATGGTGGCATGACAGGAAATAGAGTCTGCTTGGGTACCGTGGGTACATGGACGAATACTGACTTGAGTTACATCAGGAGGTGGTGGTGGTGTTGTGCCATTGGAACCAACACATAGCCGACTCTCCAGTGGGGTTTCAGAGGCAGTGAGTTGCATGGAGAGTGACCATCCTACCACAGAGCAGCTGATGAACTTGAACCTCATGCTTTGGGGATTGCAGTGCAGCTCCTTACCACCAGAGCTCCCTGGACACATCGTGGTGGTGTTAGATGCTGTCCAGTTGCATCATAGCAACCCTGTGAACTACAGGTCAGAACCCCGTCCAAACCTGTGCCATCCTCACCGTCTCTGACACACTCAGGCCGGTGCTGCAGTCACTGTGTCAGTCCACCTGGTTGAGGGCCTCCCTCTCCTTCACTGTCTCTCCACCTTTCCAAGCGTGATGTCTCTCTTCAAGGAATGACCTCTCCCAGCAATATGCCCGAAGGATGACGTGAAGCATCATCTCTGCCTCCAAGAAGCACTCCGGCTGCACCTTCTTGAAGACACATCTGTTTGTTCTTTTGGCCGTCCCTGGGATATTTGGTACTCTTCTCCAACCTCACAGTGCAAAGGCAGCAATTCTTCTGTCATCCTTATTCATCACCTCACTCCCAGATGTATAGCAAATTCTAATTTTGTAAATAAACTAGTGTAAAATTAAAAAAAAAAAAGGCCTGAAATCGGGTACACTTTAGTCCTCAAACTCACATCACTGCTTCTCAGTTTGGAGAGGTCCCTAACTACAGAGTACTCCAGGCCAGTGAGGGGTAGTAAGAATAGAGAATGAGGGTCCTTGGTGTAGGAGTTAAGCTCTTGGCTGCTGACTGAAAGGTCCCGGTTCTGTGGAGTAATTGGCGGAATCCGATGAGGGCATAGAGTGAGCGGCCACAAAGCTTGACTGCTGTAGAAACTGTGGGCAGTTCTACTCGGCAGAGAAGTGGAAGGACAGCGGACGGAGGAGTGGGTTCTCAGTCGGACTCTGAAAACATCGAGGGTTTGTGGTGACTGCGTGAGCAGGTCTGCTGGTGCCACTTTCCCAGCAGCATCTGCTCACGTGGCGTCTGTGGCATGTCTTTGATCTTTCTCACGATAGTTCTTTTTGATAATGCGGTTATACCCGTAATGCACCACACATAGACCCTGTACAATGTAAACACGACTTCTCTACACGTTGAGAAACCAAGACGTGTGTGGATTTGGGTATCTTTATGGTAGTCATCACTTGATGGTCCAGTCTGAAACTGAACCCATGATATCTCCAAGTGTCTGAAGTTTAGCAGGAGATGGTCTGTGACGCCAGAGGTCCTAGGGCAAGGCATTGGAGCTGGCCGGGTGACCTGGGTGTTTGGCATAGATTTGTTTGTTCTTTAAGGAATTGTTTATTCATTAGTGAAGTAGAATATGCTTACAGAGAGTGGAATACTGCTGTTTATGTTCTTGTCGACTTCCAAAAATGGCTTTAGGGGGCAGATTTAGGATCATTAACTCCCTTTTCTCCTCGTCATTTCTTAACAAAGAAAATATTGCAGAATTCTCGCCTCTTCTAAAAGTAATAATAAATTTCTGTGACAGGTCTTCATCCCACAGAGAGGAGCAGAGTGAAGTAAGGCATTAGGTAGGAATTTGGATTTTGCTATTAATTCTGCCCTTTCTTTATTAGACAATGTTAGGGAAATACCCATTCTCGGCAGTAATTTAGTTTCTCCATTTGAGAACGTGATTCATTTTATCTTTCACCTAGTAAATGAGTATAAAACTATAATGTTGCAAATTATTTTTGCTCCTCGCAAGTGGGAAGTGTTTGGGGCATAAAATGTTGTATTTATGTGCAGTAAATACAACTTGTGCTTGAAGTATGAATCTGGTACATTTATGGGAAGCCATAATGAGCTTTCTTTGAATTTTGAAATGACATTAAAAAATGTCTTTTGAGAATTGTAATTGTCCCCTCGTACTTGATTGCTTTTATTTCCAAATGGGTTCTGTCCTCCAGCTTGCCCAAGGCGGAGTGTCTTTGATGCCAGTAAAACTGGCAAGAAAATCATCCATTCAATGAGTTGGTTTGTCATCAGGAGTCCAAATGATTTATTTTAAGTTTATTTTTCCCATAATGAAATTAATATGTGCTGTTTATAGGAGCATGAGAACTATAAACCAGTCGAAAGAACAAAAACAATGAATCCATAGCCCCAACACTTATAGAAAACTGGCAAGAGTATTTTGGGGCATTTTTCTCCCACATAGACTGATTTAAACAAAAACTAAATTAAATGGCATTCACAGACATATTTGCATTATGATCTCACTTGACCTCCTTGCCAGCCCTTTGTGTTGGATGGTGCTCTGTAATCTTGTTCAACTTGTAAAGAATCTGAGCATCAAGGAGTGCACATAGATTGCTCATAGCTTGATGCAGGATGTCTTCTGACCCCCACCTAGTGTCACTGTCACCAGGCTTCATCTTGGTAGTTTCTCCTGCCAGTGTGGGGCTGTATGTGATAGTCATGTCGTGTCACCTTCCCATCTGTCCACTGTCTCAGGCCCTCATACCCGCAATGCCGACAGGGTGGAGGTAAGTACTTGGGTGTTTCCTGACTCTCATCCTGGTTTTAGTTTTTTGCTTACTTCATAGCGGTTACCGCAGTTATTTTGGTGGGTTTTTTTTTCATTGTTTTCTATTAGGTTTTACAAATAGAATTTGCTTTATAATTGTATTTTTTTTTTAGCATCTCAGATCCTTCCCTTGTGTTTAATATAAGTGTTGGTAATGATTTCCCTTTAAAGCAAAATGTCGTGGTTAACTTTTATCTTGACTAGTAATCTCTCTCTGGTAATCTCTACTTGCATTGTATGATTATGTAAAGACATTTGCTTGTATGGACCATAACAAACTATAGATAACATTGAAATAATGAGAATCTCAGAATACTTTCTTGTACTTAGACAAAACCTCTGCATGGAGCAAGAAGCAGTTGTCCAAGCAGAACAAGGGAGTGCTACATGGTTTAAAGTCAGGAAAGATGTGTGACAGGCTTTGTGTCCTTTCTCCATACTTCATTTGTGTGTGATGGGTGACTCATTCGAGAAGGTAGACTCTATAAGATTAAAGGAAGACTCATCACCAGCTTGTGTTATGCAGATGACACACCTTTGCTTGCAGAAAGTGAAGACTTAAAGCACTTGCTGTAGAAAATTGAAAATGTCTTCAACATGCATTATATCCCCACATCAAGAAAACTAAATCCTAGACCATCAGGCAACATCGTGATAGACAGAGAAAAGATTGAAATTGTCAATAACATCAATTTATTTGAATATCCCCAATTTCTACCCGTGATAGCAGCAGTTAAGAAATCAAAAGACATGTTGCAAAGGGGAAATCTGTCGTGGACTTCTCCAAAATGACACATAGCAAGGATATCAGTTTAAAGATTAAGGTACCGCTGATCCAAGCCATGGTGGTTTCAGTTGCTTTCTCTGCCTCTGAAAATGCCACCTTGAATAAGGAAGACCAAAGAATTGAAGTCTTTGACTTGTGGCGTTAGAGAGGAGTGCATATCATGTTGACTGTCAAAAGAACCAAGAGCTCTGCCTTGTGGGGAGTGCCAGCCGTGTGTTCGTTAACTGGGATGGTGGAACTCCATCTTACACGGTTTGGGATAGTGTCAGGAGATGCCAGACCTCAGAGAAGGACATGATGCTGGGAAAGTAGTCAGCAGAAGAGAGGCTAGACCCTCAGTGAGCGGGGTGACATAGTGACCCCAGCCGTGCGCTCGAGTGTGGTGGAGACTGTGCGGATGGATCAGGCTAGGGCCGGGTTTCAGTCTGTTCTATGATCGTAGGGTCCTGTGAGCGATAGTTGACGGCGTATAAGAACAAGAAGGAATCTCCTCAGGCTCCCATACTCTGAAATGGAGTAGTTTTCAGCGTTTGGTTGCAGTTTCCCCCACTCAGAATGTGATTCGTTTCTGCAAACTGCCTCAAAGACTGGACACTTGGATTCTGATATTAGAGACTGATTTCATGCAGTAAGCTTCATGAAGACACTTGTACTGTATTAACTTACTTGAACTTTTGTGACCCAGTGAAAATAGTGAAGTAGGAGAATGGAATTCCAATTTCACAGAAGGCAGAACCTCAGCTGCAGCCTTTGACTAAGAACAGTTAAGTCAAAGAATCGAGACTAGGGTCAGGTCTTGTGGCTCCAAGATGTTCATGGTCAAGTCCCTTAGGCCGTCTTGACAGCCTCCACCTCTTGAGTATACGGTCTCTGTTGACTTTTCCTGTGACCTGTACAGCTATTTCTACAAAGATTCTTGTCTGTGGAGTTGAGTTTATGACCTCCCTCTTCATCAGTCATAGGTATGAAAGAGGACAAAGTGAAAGAAACCAAGTAGGCACATGCCACTTCCATCCCACGGGAAGACAGAGCTGACCACCGCACAAGACAGTTGTTAGAAACCAAGTTATCTCACAGCTTCTTTGCACTCTGAGGCTGAAACAGAGTGGTCATGTTGTCAGAGAGGTGGACAGACAGTATGTGATGTGACCCACAGACCGAAAAGGCCTGGAAGTTCTTTCCCAGTAGGAGATCTCAACATTTTTATTTAAGTAGCTGTGAGTTTTGTTGATGCTCCAATATTAGGAAAAACAAAAAGTATGCCCACTGTATATTTTATAAGGTCATATATTTTCCATGGGTTTCTGGGGCTTGAATCTACACATCATTCAAGACGTCCTTTTATGGTTTGTCAACAAGATCGCTCCATAAAATACATTCTGCTATCTCACAGCTGTGTGTAATTTATTCTGTCTATCCAGGCAGCACAAATGAAATTTTTATTTGCATCATCCAGAAGAAATACCAGTGTATAAATACATACGCAACGCTCATAAGAAACGGCCTTCTGACTACAGATAGTGCTGGGGGGGTATATTGTGTGACCAATTAAAAAGCTGAGAGATGGCTCCATTATCCATGCGCATAGATCATAAATACTGTACTCAGCAAATAGTTACTCAAGTGCTTAAAAAGGTTGCACAATAGTCGACAAGAACTGGCACCAACTGCTTCTGAATTCTCCTTGGAAGACTTAGCAATGAAAGGCTACTGGAGAGGGAAATTGGCTGGAAGAGGGAGGAGTATGTAGGTGAAAAGGGAGACATTGAGTTGAGTGTTTTGCCTTCAGGAGGCTAAGTGTGCCTGTTGGACGCCAGGGTCCGCGAGCTAAGACTGTTCTCATGTGGTTTGCACAGCCCCAGCCTGAAGATGGGCCAGGAGGCCCTGCCCATGGTGGTCTTTCTTATTGTTGCTGTGAACGCCTGTGAGTTGACTTTCACTCATGATGTTGTTATGTGCTTGTGACTCATAGCGACCCTGTGTACAAGAGCCCTAAACCCTTCTCTGTCCTGGGCCAACCTCACTGTCTCCAACACACCTATTCCCAATACCCCAATCACTGAATCAATCCATCTCAATGAGGGTCTTCTTCTCTTGTGCTGTCCCTCCACCTTCCCAAGCATGATGTCCCTCTGCAAGGACTGGTCCCTCCTTGCAACATGCCCAAAGTATGGCAATTTACAAATCAGGGTGACCTCAGGCACGACAGACTGTAGCGCTGCCCAGTCCTGCACTGTCCCCGGGCTAGGTTGTGGCGTGGATTGTCATCCAAACGGTTTACATGGACTGAGTTTTAGAAGTTGACTATCAGGCCTGCCTCCTCGTCCATCTTGTCCTGGACACTCCCCTGAAACCCTTTGATGGGCATCATAGCAGCCAGACTCGACTGATGGGCAAGTGGTGGCTGCCCCCAGGGTTCATGGCGGGAAGACAAGCTCCAGTTGCCTGCCAGGAGAGGAGAATGCTACCCTGGAACCACCAGAAGCGCCCTGTGAGGTGTCCTCAAGTCAGTGTCAGCTCAGCAGCCCTGGAGGCTGGAGAACTGCGCCGTGGGGACTCGGAGGGGGAACAGTTATGGGTACAGATTGCCAGTTCTTTCTCTTCCTGTTGGTAAGTGCTGTGGTGTTGGCTACAACTCATGGCCTCGGCCTAGGCTCAGCTGTTTTCATGATCTCCCGCATACTCACGTCTGTGAGTCGGTGTATCAATCCATCTTGTTGAGACTCCTCTCTCTGATCATACCCCTCTTCCAGCATGATGTTTGTTTCTGACCTTCACCTGTCAAGACAATATGAGACATTGTTTCACCATCCTTGTCTCTAAAGAGCACCACGGTTACACTTCCTCCACGACAGACTGACTTGTGTGGCGTTGGTGCCTCTCCTAACACTGTGTGGGCCAGGTTTTCCTACTGGTTCAGCCGAGGAGACTTGGATGTCATGGGACTATATCATCTTTCTCTTTAGACATTCAGATGCCCCAGTATCACACAGAAATTCCCCTGCGCGTGTATGGAACCTCGATGGATGCAAACCTTCTGGAATCACAATTGAAATATCCTGGGATCTATCCTGGCCTCACTCCTGCTGGGCAGTGCTCATCAAGAAAACCTTTATTATTAGGGCTTCAAACTGGCTCAGTCTGGTTCAGTCCCCTGCTGAGATTTGCATTCTTAACCCTAGATAGGCTCAATCAGAATCTACCTTTTAACAAGGTCCCCAAGTGACTCTTAGATAGATGATCTTATTAAAATGTTGACTTCCGATTCAGTCTACCTGGCTTGGAAGTGAAATCCTCTGGAGACTGAATCGGATTGAACCGAGTAGATCTCCTGACTTTTTAGAACTCTTCTTCTGTCTGCTTTAAGGGGCCTTCTGAACAATTGGGCTTGCGATTAACTACTCAATTTAACAATTCACTGGAGTAGGAGCTTTAACTCGCAGAACTGGCAGGCACAGCTTGTAATCAAGCGGGTCTGTTTGCATAGAAGAATTGTAAATATGTTTGTGGTCTTCTTCTGAAAGGACTAGTGCCCGCGGTAACTCCTAGTGCTTGGCATGGTTCTCAGTGATGGAGGGCAAAGTTCACACGGCACTCAGTTCTTATTCCATCATTGCTTGCATTTCAGAGCCGCCTTAATCCAATTCAAGTAGCCTGCCAGCTCCCTGGTAAACGAAGCTTAGTTAATTGCACTGAGTGGTTTGGCTCTGCAGGAGCTGTGGAACTCTCAGAATGGCCTTTATTTTGGTAAATTCCGCTGAGGGTCCTGAGCAAGTGGCCTGGGTATTGACAAAGCTTAGGGTGTGTTGGTGATACTGGCCTTTAATATTCCTTGAGCAGGTGACCTCCTGGCCTCATCACACCGCCTAAGCTGATGGAGCAGCCAGCTCTGTTCTCTGCTGGCTGGTTCCCCATTGGCAGGTTCCCCGTGGAGTTCTGTGTGAGAGACGTCCCCACCAAAGTGCCTCTGGTCTCCCCTCAGCCACCCAGAGCCTGGCTGCCTGTGTGAACCCTGGCGAGAGTCATCTTGCCAGCTGGTCTACCACACCACCACGCTTTGTTTGGTTTTATTTAACTTTTTGTTGAGATTTTGAGTAAAAGTTTATAGAGAAAATCAGTTTTCCGTCCAAGAGTTCCTCCCCTTTTTGTTCGCGGCCCCGATTACTGTTCCCACAGTGACGTGTTTGCCCACTGTTCCTTGTCCTCCTGTCTGCTCTGCGGCCGTGGCCTTCTTGTTCCCTGTCCTCCTGTCTGCTCTGTGGTCGTGGCCTTCTTGTTCCCTGTCCGCCTCTCTGACTCTGCGGCCTTGACCTTGTACCCTGTCCTCTTCTCTGACTCCGCGGCCTTGACCTTCTTATTCCCTGTCCTCCTTTCTGACTCTGTGACATTGGCCGCCTTGTTCCTTGTCCTCCTTTCTGACTCTGTGGCCTTGGACTTCTGAGTTCTTGTGATCGATATTTGATCTGCTGCTTCATCCTTCCCATTGAAGGTCTGGGACTGTCCTCGTATCCATTTCCTTTGGCTTTTGGGTTTTTGTTGTAGAAAATGTTGGTTGTTGATCTGCCCGGGCTGTCACGTCAAATCGGTGTCTTACCCTGCTGTTTTCATGACATTTTTTGGTAAAGCAGTTTAGATTTAGAAGAGACGTGCAGGGGTCCCTGTCGCCCTGCTCCGCAGTACCACCTGCTGCTTTGAGGAAGGTAGGTGGGGGTGGGGGTGTTTAGTCCCCCCTCTCCCATGGTGAGCCTGACCACATGGTCTCAGTCTTCTATGGCAAGACCAAAGGGCATGGAGGCAGCTTCAACTGTGACCCTCTTAGGTGAGACTTTAAGCTTCATCCTTGATGACTTATGTAAGTATTTACGAGATGCAGGTGCCAACAGTGTGGGCAGAGGGCTCTAAGAAGGGACATGTGTGAACATTTGGGGGAAGAAGGGACCATTTGGGAAAAATCAGGTCCAGAGCAGCTAAAGTCAGAGCCCATTGGAAGACGGACGGTTGATAAATATAGGCCTTCCTGAAGGAAGGAGCAGACATGATGAGGTGGGTACACAGGGGCCTGGTGGAGACGGAGCTGATGCTGCTGCAGGGCTCGCCTCGCTCGAAGCCATGCTGCACGCCTGGGTCACGAACTGAAGACACAGAAGGACATTGCTGTATCCCGTATCACCACGTTACTGTGGCCGCCACCTCTGCACCCAGGAGGAGGCCTTTGATGCCTTCCACCCAGTGTACTTTCCTCCTCTGGCTACGCTTCCTCTAATCACAGAGCCCTCTGTCCAGAGTCCTAGACTGTCTGTTAAATGCAAGCTAATGCTGGAAGGCCCTGCTCATCTCAGCGCCTGCACCCCTCGTGCCCTTACTCACCCAATGAATGCCCTGCCCTCTCTGCCTGGCCTCCCACAGACCACGTGGCCCAGCACATGGCCATGCATTGTGGCCCCAGCTTTCTGTTCATCTCTGTTCCCCATTCCCTCGAGTCTCAGCCACGGGCAGTTTTAATTGCTTCGCAGCCAGCTTGAGAATCTTCTGGACGGGCTGTATCAACTTGTGACTGTTAGAGTAGTAATCTCTTTGTAGCCTGAGTCGAACTTCAGACTTCCACATTGAGAATGATAAAATGGTGCGGATTTAGAGGTGTTTGGGGAACTGTAAAATGTCTAGGATTAAAATTTCAATACCATTTGTGCCTAATAAAGACAAACTCTTTAGTAACTTAAAACTCTACTGTTATGACTCAGAACTGAAAATTATGGGTCCTGTTTGAAGAAATGCGAGGGAACAGGGACCCATCTTTTACCGTGAGGAGTGTCATGTGGTTGCCTCAGATAGCAGGAGTGTGACCTCATCCAAGAGGAAGCCCGGGAAGGCTGTGTGTGTGTGTGTGTGTGTGTGTGTGTGTGTGTGTGTAAAGTGATCCACCCTCCAGGAGAGAAAACACGTTCTTCTGCACGTCAGAAGTGTGTATGGAAACAGGCCCCGTCGAGCTGCTGTGGTTTATTAACTGGTTCAACAGACAAGACCCCTGGAAATAAGATCATCCAGCAGTTCAGTGACGACGTTTTCTTGTTTAACTTAAACCAGTCTAGTCGGTCTGAACTGGCAAATTAATTTTGTCTATAGAGTCACTTACTGAAGCATATAAAATTAGACTCTTACGTTAAGAGAGGAGACTTGGCATTGTGTTCAAGAGATTCTTGGAGACTTAAGTAAATGGATTTAGCCTTAATACAACAAAACCCTGAGACTTTTAATAGAGAGCTGATCTGAAGTAAAGCATCAATTTATCATTTTAAGAACTCACTGCTTGGGCATTTTTGTTGCTTGTTGAAGAATCGAATTATCTACCTTGACTATGATAATAACTCAACACAGGCTATAAGTCTTGAAGGGGGATTAAAAAGAACTTTTTCCCCCTTTAAGTTACAAAATTTTATGGCTAAATTGACAGAGCATTCATCAGTTTTAACGCTTTTCGTGATTTAAGGCATTAGAGTGTTTCGCTGGGCTTATTTGGCTTCCAAATGGTTTTATTGAGTCATTTATAGAATAAGCTTTGGATGCTAAACTCCTTCTCACTAGAATAAGAAACTGAAATATTTTTCCTTTGATCCAGGGGCAGGCGTAGGAAGTAAATTATCACCTTCCGAGCAGCTGACCCAGAGGAGGGACCAGGGAGAAGCCTACCACGTGGTCAGCGCTTCTTTTCTTGATGGAAACTTCTGGAACCCCATCGAGACCATGGATGCAAAGGTCAGGCTTTTTTCTTCTCCACTTTAAGATTGCCGATGCTTTTAAGTGACATTAACAGTCTTCATAGTCTTTTATTCAAGCTTTATCTCTACCATTTTAATGCTCACTTTTATTTTCCTCGAATGAAAGTTTATGTCCATGAAGATAAACTCCCAGTCAGCTCTGATGTAAAGGTTCTGCTTGTTATGTGCGTCTGCTGAAGGACATTTGCCTCCACACAACCATGACTATGTTACCAGATCCACACCTTCTCTGTTGTTTCTCTTGAGTTCCAGGCATGTTTCTGTCTCCATATACATTTCATCAACATCTTCATTTTCCCTGGTGAGTGGCTTTCTGCAACTTTATTAAAAATGATTGTGTCATGGATTGAATTGCTCCCTAAAAACTCTTATATGATACAGAAATTATGTAATGATTCACCACAATCTGATAAACTAGACCATCTTCTCTGCCCATTTTAATGCTCACAAAAGAATGAAGGGTGGGATGTAACATCCTTGTTTCCATCACAGACCTGAGTCTAGACTTTACTTGGAGTATATCGGCATCACGTTTTATCGTGTGAGGGACAAGTGAGCAGAGAAAGGGGTGTACTGTTCCCAAGGAGTCTCAATACAAGTTAGAAAGAGGAGCCGGGAGAAGACCACATCCTTTGGGCTGAGCTCTGCGCTGGGAACCTTGGAGAACCAGGACTTACAGAGAGAAAGCCCTTCGCAGAGCTGCCATCTTGAATTGAGAGGCTAAGGGGAGATCTGGTGGTGCCAGTGGTAAGCTGCACTGCAATGCCAAAGGCGCGTGGTTCAAATCCACCAGTTACATCTCGGGAGGAATATGTATGGACAGTTTTCTGCTGTACCTACTAAAAACCTTCTGAAATCCTACTGGAGGGTCAGTTACAACTTGATGGCACACAACAGCAGCCTCCTGAAGTGTGAGAGAATAAATTTCTGATAGTTAAAACCATCTATCTGTGGTGTCACTCTGGAGACTAAGGTGCTTCTGATACAGGCCATGGTCTTTGCAATCACTTGTTAGGTGTCAGAGAGTTGGACAATGACTAGGGGTGATAGAAGGAGAATTGATGCCTTTGAGCTGTGGTGCTGGAGAAGAGTATTGAATGTACCATGGACTACCAAGAAAACAAACAGGTTCATCCTGGAGAGGGTTAAACTGGGCTACTCCTTGGAGGCAAGGATTGAGATCTCGCCAGACATACTTTGGACATGTTGTAAGGAGGGAACAGTTCTTGGAGAGGGACATCATGCTTGGGAGGATGGAGGGATGGCGCAGGAGGGGAAGACCCTCTATAAGGTGGATTGAGTCAGTGACTGGGGTAATGGGGGTAGGTGTGTCGGTGACAGACTGGCAAAGGATAGGGCAGGGTCACTATGAGTCACACACAACTCCACAGCACATAACAACAATCTGTGCTGTTCAAGCTGTAGTAGTATTGGTGAACTAAGATAGTCTGTAATGAGTCTTAACGCAGTGTTTTACTTCATATATTTACTTTGAGTCTCGTGTAATATAAGAGACTAATAGCAGTAGAATTGAAGTGTTAGTGAATACATTTACTTTAGATGAGGTTTAGCTGCCAGATCGACATGTCTTTCTTAAATTTCAGAACTTGTAGGAACAATTGGAAAGTGATAGAGTCCATAGACATATGAGCTCTTTGGAGAGCTCGCACAGATGGCTTTGTCCTGGTTTTGGGGGGAACTGTTTTCATATCATTTTTCATAATTAAAAGCAGATTTTAAAAAAGAGCAGTTGAAAGTGCAAAAACAAAAAAAATTACCAGTATCTTTCTGGAGGGGTTGCAGTGAATCTACCTCTATGTGAGTAATGATCCCAGGATCTTACAATCATTCATTTTCTGGAGAAGCTAGAAATTGAAACTGAAAATTAAGGAAAACTGTTGGTGTACTTTTAGGATCCAGTTGCCAAATATGGACTCTGTGTAAATATTTCCATTTTGTAGAGACAGTTGCAAATTGAATATACAAAGTACAAGTCAAGCAGGATAATAAACATGATGTGATGGTCTCCTGGAAGAAACCTTGAGATATTAGAGGAAACCTTAGGCCATTATTCAATGTTAGAAGTAATGTGTAAATGCAGAAAAGGAGAAGTGTAATATTCTTTATAAAGAAAGTATGTCTATTTAAAATATTTCTAGCTGCTAATGCAAAGCATGACACAATCTAATACTTCTTGGGTTGTAGGCGTTCTAATAGGGCCATCTTCACGGATGCATAGTTTCCTGGTTTAGCAAATGAAAAGGCGTGATTGATGCCTGTTAAACTTGAATTTCTGTGATGGAATGTATTTTTTTTTTGTAGCATAAATATGTCCTTTGCGAAAATTGTTTGGGAAGTTCTGATCTACCTGCTGCTGTTAGATGTTGTAATGTCAGTTCCAACTCCTGGTAATCCCCCTGAGAACCGGAAGAAACAGTGCTTGGCCCTGTGCCGTCCACGGAGGCACTGACGTCTGAGCCCACTGTTGAAGCTCCTGTCAGTCCATCTCGTTGAGGACCTTTTGTGTCTCTCCTTTACCGGGCATGACAAAGCATCCCTTTCCAGTGACTGGCATCCTGATAATGTGCGCAGAGTCCATAAGGTGAAGTCTCCCGAGCCTCACTCCCAAGGAACCTTCTGTCTGCGTTTCCTCCAAGACACATTTCTACATTCTCTGGTGTCTTGTGGCTTCCATGGTCTGTGCACACAGTGAATGAGCTGGGCAAAGAATAAGGAAGACTAAAGAAGAGTGGAGGCGTTTAAACTCCAGAGCTGGCAAGGATATTGAATTTATCACCAACGCCACAAGGACCGAGTCTGCCAGCACATCCTTTATTTTGTATGGCAGCCTTTTCTGGGGCTGCTGAGCCGAGCAGAGGCATGGGTTCTGCACCAGTTTTCTTTCCTCTAGCTTTGTCCTGAGTGCCAGACAGCCAGCTCACCCACATTATACGGAATACTGGGCAGAAGCTGGACACGTCTACTGTTGGCCAGACTTAACACGTAACTACGGCTGTGGTCCACCAGCACCATCTTTGGAGAAGTCTTGGGAGGTTATTATTAATAGGCAACTTAGTTTCCCTGGGTTTCTACCTCAAACATGAGATCCATGTGCGTGGTAGGTCCATGTGTTCTGTACTTCAGTGAGCAGCGGGGGCTGGCAGCAGACGAGGAGTACAAGGAGGGTTCATGGCCAATGGCCCTGGCTTGTGCAACCTACCCTTTGCAGACTTCAGGAACTGCCCAGCTCCAGCACGCTCTTGACAGTGAAACTGTAGGAATAATGTGTGAAGTGGAAAACAGGAGGGTGAACGTGGAACCTGATCTTCCCTAAGCATTTCGTGAGCCTCATAGATGCCATTGACTCGTCTGTGACTCATAGGAACCCTGTGAACAATGGCTCTGAAGCCAGCCCTATCCTATGCCAGTCCCACTGTCGCTGACACACCTGACCCCCTTGTCATAGTCACTGTGTCAGTCCGTCTCATCCAGCAGCTGCGTCTCTTAGCTCTGACCCTCTACCCTCCCCAGCTTCACAGCCTTCCCTAAGGACTGGCTCATCCAGACAGCATACCCAGGTATGTGAGATGCAGTTTCAAAATCCTTGCCTCCAGGGAGCAACCTGATTTCACACTCTCCAGAAGAGATCTGCTCTCTTGGCAGCCCATGGAATGTTCAGTACCCTTACCCGACACCACAACTCAAAGGCGTAGATTCTTCTTCTATCATCCTTAGTCATTGTTTGGCTTTCATATATATGCATAGCAAGTAATTGAGAAGACTAAGATCAAGCACAACTTACTCTATAGACTGGCATCGTTGCTCTTTAGCTCTCTAGAGAGGTCCTCGACAGGTTCGTTTACACGCAGCTCATCTTGATTTCTTGACCGCTGGAGCCAAGGGTTTTGACTACAGATCCAAGAAAGATGAAATTGTTACAGTTTAAATCTTTTTTCAATCTCTCATGCTGCCTGTTGGCCTGCTGGTGAGGATTTTTGTTTTCTTAATGTTGGGTACTAGAGATATTGTAGCTGATGTTAGATTGATCTTGGGTGAAAGCAGGGAATACCAGAGGAATGTCTGTGTTTCATTGACTATGCAAAGGCATTTGACTGTGTAGATCATAACAAACTGTAGCTGACTCTGAGAAGAATGGGAATCCCAGAACACTTGATCGTTCTAATGTGAAACTTATACTTGGACCAGGAGGCAGTCGTCAGAACAGAGCAAGGGAACACTGCATGGTTCAAAATTGGGAAGGGCGTACGCCAGGGATGCATCCTATCTCCATACCTTTTCAACCTATATGCAGAACAGATTATCCGGGAGGCTGGGCTCTATGAGGAGAAATGTAGGGTCAGGATTGGTGGACGATTTATCAACAATCTGCGTTACGCGGATGACACAACCCTGCTTGCTGAAACTGAGGAGGACCTGAAGTGCCTGCTGCAGAGTGTCAAGGACTGCAGCCTACAATATGGATTGAGGCTCAATGTCAAGAAGACAAAGATTCTCACCACTGGACCAATTGGCAGCATCAGGATGGATGGTGAAGAGATTGAGATTGTACACAGCTTTAGTTTGCTTGGCTCCATAGTCAACAGTCTTGGCACCAGCAGCCAGGAAATTAAAAGGTGCATTGCCATGGGAAAGTCTGCTGTTAGGGACCTCTCCAAAGTGCTGAAGAGCAATGGTGTCTCTGTGGAGACTAAGGTGTGTCTGATACAGGTCTTCGCAATCACCTGTTATGCATCAGAGAGTTGGACAATGACCAAGGAGGATAGAAGGAGAATTGATGGCTTTGAGCTGTGGTGCTGGAGAAGAGTACTGAGAATACCATGGACTGCTAGGAAAACAAACAGATTCGTCCTGGAAAGGGTTAAACCGGGTGGCTCCTTGGAGGCAAGGATTCTGAGGCTCCGTCTAACATACTTTGGCCATGTTGTGAGGAGAGACCGGTCCTTAGAGAGGGACATC